GATGTAGTTATTAGCTAAAATAGGGGCTGAACAAGATCCAGTTTAAAGTAAAATATGTATTATGCATTGCTAAATTGACTAATTTAATTATTTTATCTATTATTATTTAATGGTGTTCTTGTGTGAATAAACAGCTGCCACCGAACGCATTTCCGGTTCGGGAAGTTAACTTCACTCATTTGCAAGCATGTAGAGTAAGGTTGAAGTAGCCAACCAATTCAGAAGAGACCTCATTAAGATATCGATGTTAAGTGTATAAGAAATCGACAAGAGTTGCAGTCGGTCACCTTTTGGCTTTGTGTATTTTTGCTCTATTTCGTAAAATATGGAATCTTGCTCTGATAATGTCTGTAATAGTACAGAAGAAAGCTTAACACAGCTTCTTCGGGGTCGCAGGACGGTGAGCCAAGGACCTCTCCGCACAATTTAACACTCTTCCTCATTCGTTTTCCTATGAGACCACACTACAAATTCCTTCTAACCAATTTACCCTTAAAAATGGAGAGTTATGCCACAATATTTAATTAAGGAATTCTTCGAAACCCAGCTTTTCTTCATATCATCCCCATGTCTTTGGCAAACTTCTTCCCAAATCGTCTCATTCTCATTGCTAAAAATGCCGGCTCAACAGACCTTTCCTTAACTTTGTATATGTGCCTTGCTTTGATACGTTTTTAAATCTAATTTCTCAAATTTAAATCACGATCTTTAGTGACCGAAGGTATTTTTACTTTAGATAGCCCTGGCATTTCTCTCAATTCACATCCTCCTACACTGCCTCTTAGTAGTTGGATTAATGGTAAGTCAGCTGCTTCTCGAGCTTTCTAAATATCATAATTTCTGCTGCAAACTTTTTTATTACTATCAAACCAACGGGTCTTTGCTTATTATCAATACGGATTTTACTCATATTGCTCAATTCGCCTTTAATCCAAACATATATATATATCTTCCTACGCTTAAGATACCACTAGGCTTTATGCTATTAACGATAAAAGCTTAAATCATCTGATCTCCACATAAATTTGCTTTGATGTGATGATGAATCAAGGCTTTTAAATCATTATATCATATTCCATTGTCATTAGACAAAACGGATTGACTGTCTAATTTCACTGGCATTTATTTGCTTTTCGGTTAACTTTAAAAATCCCAGGATAAAATGTCCATCTCATTAATGCTTTGGCTAAAACTCACTACATTGTTGAGTGATCACTCGATTAAAATATGGTAACTTCATACTGAATGCTCAATTATGAATAGACCATTCTATCCGATTAATGATAGGATGTCTGTATTATGCCATAAGTTAAGAAAAGTAAGTTCTTA